AAAAAAAAAAAAAAAAAAAAAAAAAGCAAGAAAAAGCAAGAAAAGAAATGTTCAGTTCCTTTGATAAAGAAATACAGAATAAGCCAGATATTATGGAAAAGTACCTAAAATTCCAGCACTTGGAAGGCTGATGCAGAAGGATGGCAAGTTAAAGGCCAGAAGAAAGAAAAGGGAGGGGAGGGGAGGAAAGGGGAGGAGAGGAAAGGAAAGGAGGAAAGAAGGGAAAGCCCAAACCCACAGAATAGAACCTAATATGGCTATGTTTTTTTTTTTTAATTGTGCCGTTAAGAGTTAGGCAAAATGTTGTTTCTGTATGCACTTATTAGAAGTTAGTTCAAATTTTAACAGGTTTTCGTCCCACACCTACAAAAGCATGCTGAGATAAATCCTTGTTTTTTCTATAGCCTTTTGCACACACACATCCATAAGAAGAGTTTTTCATAAAGCAGTGGGGCTCTAGCTTTCCCTCCTCTGTCAATCATGACAGAGTATAGCTACTGTCCATCGCAGCTGTCCAGGGCAGCCTAAACTTGGAAAGCGATTGCACTCCTCGGGTTTGCAGAAGCAGCACACGAATCACAGACATCTCCTAACTTTAGGAAATGCCACTGCTATTTGTAGGGCAAAAACAACAGAAAGCTTCAGAACACAGCAGCTCTCAAACAGTGCCAGCAAATACACTTCTGAACTGGCTCATGTGATCAAATACCACTCTGTCCTTCTGAACAGGTGTCATGGCAAGGAGTCTGCCAAAAGAAGGGAGGGGGGAGGAAGAGAAAAAGGAACAGAAGAAAGAAGAAAGGAAGGAAGGAAGGAAGGAAGGAAGGGAGGGAGGGAGGGAGGGAGGGAGGGAGGAAGGGAGAGAGAAAACAAGCCAAAAGTTGTATAAAACATTCATGTTTTCTTCTGCTTTCATCAAAGGCAACCCCTAATTGGTTACTATATAAGGTCCCCCTTCCTCTGTGTTATCAGCACAAGTGTGGTAAATGTGTCTCCAAGAAAGACACTGAACAGCCTCAAGCACATGTGTAAAAATAAGACCCGACCCTCGCATCATGTCTCAGGCCAGTTGTCATGACTTTATTTATACCAAAACATTGGAAATTAACCAAATGCCTAATAACAGTGGACTGATTAAAGTAAGTATGAGGTAGCTATATGATGGATTGCAAGACAGTTATTGCAAATATACTGAAATCATAATTCCTACCTTTTAGGTACCTCCCTAAAATACTGTTAAAATATGCATTGCTACATTGCTTTCTCTTTCAGTCATAAAAGATGCATTCACGTATAAAAGGACATTTCTTACTGAAACACTTGTATCACTCTACTAAGTTGGTTTTCATGATTGAAAAAAAATCATCTCATATAAAAAAGATTTAAAAGACAGGTCAGTTAAAGTTCTTCTTGATTATACAAAATTACTAGTGGTTGAGCCGTGGTGTCAGATGTGCAATGAAATTAAGTGTGTAAGAAAGAGTTGTAAATTCTAAGCATTAAATTGAATTAATAAACTAAGTAAAGACATGGTTCTATTGGGATTGAAAGTTTCTGTAGAAAGCAGGCTGTTTAGCTCCATTAGCAACATAGCTATAAAGAAAGAATATCTTATCAGAAAGTAGTGGAGGTTGTGCAAAATTAATAGAGAGTGCTAGACCCAAGCTTGGTGTAAAATTTCATGGAAGGGATTAGGAAGTGAGGGGAAGGTAATTAAGTAGAAAGAACAGCCGCAATGAGCTGAAAAGCAAAAGATCAGATGGTCCTGAAGTTGAGCCCCTCACCATCTGTTGGCAATCATCAAAATTTATTTGATCTTATTGAATATTTACTTTGTAAAGGGGGAAAAATAAGCCTCGTTGTAATGAATGAATGAATAAGTGAGGTGCAAGGAGAATGCCATCATGCCAGAGCTCATTAGCAGAGCAAGGAAAATCTCTCCCATTGCAACAGGACAAATACAATCACTGCAATCTAATTGCTTCCGTCTTTGTCTGTCCCGATATCCACTCCACAAAAAGGTACTTATGTTCTCCTGCCTTTTGTGATTCTTTCAGAGGGCTTTGTCTGTCATTTTGCGTTCATTGTTTACTATGTATTTGTCTATAAAATTTGCTCTTGTGAAAGTTCTGGGCGACAATATGTATCCATTAGGAAAGTAGGTCAATCAGCCACTCAGGTTTCCCCATCTAATTGGCATCAGCACCTGTGATTTCATTATCAGCTAAGGGTTTACTCTCTACCTGATTTTATGAAGCAGGAAATACAACTCTCTCCTATGCTTGTGGCCCTCGTAGCCTATCAATTCCTGAATTCTCCTGTTTTTCCTACCTGCTTTACTTTGTAAATATTTGGGGGCTTTCTTCTCTTCTTCTTTGGTTTTCTGTAACTTTTTCCTTCAGGCTTTCAAGATCTTAACTGCTACCTGCTCTTTTCTCATTCCTCCAAATCCATCTTCTAATATCCACCCAGAAAGAACTCAAATCTGACTTTTCAAACTTCTAGTAAAGGATGTTTGTTTCCATGGCACTTACAGGATCAAGTCAAAAGGCATGGTAAAGGAAATTCTTCACCACTGTGTCCCCTGCCTGCTTTCCTGCCCAAGCTCTTCTCCCTCATCTCGCAGCTTATGCCCTCCAGCAAAAGCAGAGTAATTTATAAAGCAACCACTAATAAATAATTAAGCAATTTTTATCATAATCAACCCATGACATGCCTCAGGGATGAATATCCCCATTCATTCTTGAGGTCTGTGCTATGCATTAGTATCTCAAAATTAGCTGCTTGGGTTATAGACAGTGAGACTCCCAGAGAAGGCAGAGCAGACCATGCAGCCAGCTGTCACACAGGCCCATCTGTGTAAGAGGTCTTCACACTAGGCATCCAGACAGCAGCCACCTTGCTGAATATCTGAATACATATTAGTGTTGCCCACCAGTCAAGCAGGGTGCAGCTGCCCAGGAAATCTATATATGTTCCTTTATTAAAAAATGATTGAGACAGTGTCATTCTTTGTCTAATATCATCTTTCACATTCCTAGCAACACACTTTTAACATGCCAGATATTTGAAAGCTTTTATCAAAAAAGGCCGGCTGCTTCAAGTCAAACACTTTATTTAATTTAGTTCCTTTTTTATATTTTTATTTATTATTGTTATGTGTATGAGTGTATTGCCTGCATGTGCATATGTGCACCCATGTCATATAATGCCTGCAGAGGTCAGAAGAAGGATTCCTCCAGAACTGGAGTTACAGATGGTTGTTAGCTGCCCTGTAGGTGTTAGGACTCAAATCAGGGTCTTCTGCAAGAGCAGCCAGTACTTAATTTAGTTCTATAGTTGCTTCAGGAAAATAAATCTATGTTTTTATTAATTTTACAGTTACATTTGCATTGCAGATGGATAGTTAACAGTTCACATAATCAATAAAAAATATTGCTGAAGCACAGGATACATTAATGAGAAACTCACATCTGAGTAAGATATTTCCTTCCTGTTTATTTGCTCAAGTTTTTTAATCACAAGGTTTACTATCTTGTGCTGAAAAAAATTAATAATTGAATGTTTGTACAAAGTAGTGGCTCCTTGGACATGACATTCACTTCTTTTCAAAGACTTAAAAGTCTTGATAAGTAGTAATATGTTATGCCACTCTCCCCATCTCCCATCATTGCAAAGATTGTGCAGATCCCAGTATGTGTAGTAAGTACATTCATTACTATGCTAAATGCCAGCACAGAAAGATGTTTAAATATCTTGAGTATTCTACAAATCAGATAAAATGAACACCAAACTAGTATAAAGTAAACAGTGCATTTTCCAGCTATTCATTTTTCTGTGTAGAAAGAATGGATGAAACTTATTTGATAGTTTGTTACCAAGTGCTATAATTTTTTAAATATTTTATTTATTTTTATTTTATGTGTATGCATGTATTGCCTGCATGTAGCTACGTGCACCAGTGTTGTACAATGGCCACAGAGGACAGAAGAGACTGTCGGATCCCCTGGAACTGGAATTACGGACAGTTGTTAGCTGCCGTGTGGGTGCTGGGATTTGAACCTGAGTCTTCTGCAAGAACAACCAGTGTTCTTACTGCTGAGCCATCTCTACAGCCCCTAGTGTTATAAATTTTAATGGCTTTATTAAGTTAAAACTGATACAACAAACTGCACATACTTAACATATAGAATTTGATATATGGATGTCACTGTTTCTAGATAACTTAGAAATGAACAAAGAAAACTTCACTATGTTCATACTGCAGCATGTGCCCTTCCAATTTTAAAAATCTATTCATATATGCATAAAGTAGACAAGACCCTCTATTTCTATCAAATGCTGAGAAAACTACATATATTGTGGCATAACTTTCCTTTTTTTTTTTTTTTTTTGGAGACAGGGTCTCCTTATAGCCCCAGTTGGCCTGGCACTCACTATGAAGTCCAGGCTGGTCTCAATCTCAAGGAGATCCTCCTGCCTCTGCCTCCAAGTGCTGGGATTAAAGGTGTGTACCACCATGCCAGCCTAGATTTCCTATTTCTAACTAATGTTTTCATAAATATATTTCATGTCATTAAATATCATCCAAAAGATTACTATTTATATAGGTCATATACAATCTTGTTTATCAGTTACAAAATAATTATAAAATGAATGATGAAGAAAATAATCTCTAGCCATCTATGAGGACCATAAAAATATAACCAAATAACAATATAAATATCACTGTTGATCTACCATGTATCTTAAACTGCATATATGAATCTTAAATATAAACAGCTGTATATATTCACGTTTCAATGTTTATTAAAATAATGATCAAACTACATGTATTATATTCCAATTATAATTTCTTATAATTATAAAGAAATTTTAGTAAGTAGTTTGTGCATTTGGAATTTTTATTTACAAAAAGTTTTTAAAATACATAAGTGATAAAAAAATAAAATAAAAGCAAATTATTGCCAGTAACTAGAAATAAAGAAAATGACTACACTTTTGGATAATATTTTTCTATGTAGATGCATCTGAACAAAATTGCATTGTTGTTTAAACCCTATTTTTAATTTAAATTTGATATCACCATTTCCATGTTATTATATTTATTTTAAGGAACAATTTAAAGTAGCAACCCAGTTCTATAGTATAAAGCACTTTTCACATCCTTCAGTATAAGGAAATATTTAAAATCTTGATGAATTTTATAGATAACATTTTTCATTTTGAATAAAATGTCATGCACTCTGGTTAGTAATGTGTTTTTCAAATGCAGACAGACTTTTTTTAAAGGTGTCTTATTTGTCTTTTGCCAGTTCTGCCTGCAAAAGTTATTTTCTCATTTTATCATTTATTTCAGGGGTGATGTTCACACAAAGAAGTTTCCCTCTATATTCTTCTTAGCACTTTTGCTTCACCTGAACATTCCTGTGTATACTTTATATTTGTTAATGTGTAATTCATCACACCTGGAATATGTTAGAGATACAATGTGAGGTTAGCAAGTATCCTTGTCCACAGGTTGACATGGTGTCTTTACCACGTCATAAATCCTTACGTGTGTATGTGAATTTCATTTTGTGTCAGTGGAGTGATGATAGCTGCAGCTCAGGCCCTGGGTTTTTCTTCCTTTTCTATCTGTTTAGTTCAATGTGGCACTGATTTAAGGTGGTGGGCTTTTTTTTTCTTACACATCATAAAGCATTATTATTAAAGACTTACATTTCAGTTTACACACAAAGAGAACTCTTTCCTCTTGTTTTAGAGCAATGCAAGCTTCCCACAGCATGCACACACATGCAGCACACATAAGAAGGAGCAAGAAAAGTTGGTTTCCTCTTAGGACTCAGTAGCAATCACAGATGCAACATTCTGATCCTTTGAATTTTGTAACTTCTTTCTCCTTTCTGTAGAGGTTCCAGGGGATGTAAACAAGTCTTTAAATGGTTTCATAATAGTGACAGTTTTATTCATCCAGCCAAACTCCTAATTGTGAAATTCTTCATCTTCCAGGGGAGTTTGAAACTTATCTTTGAAAAGATCCCAACATGCAAATTCATAGCAGAAAACAGAAAACATCCTCCCCCCACCCCACACCCAATCGCTCATTAAAATGGAAATTCTCTATTTTCACCAGCGGGTGGCAACCTCAACATATACACATCCCAAGTTTTCAAGGGACCTGCTCAGCGGTGCAAAGGGGGAAACTGCTTCAAATGACTGACACCACAACTTTAGCAGCTGGCGCTGCTCTTTAATTGTGACTAAAAACAGAAAAGGCAAAACCTGAAGAAATAATCACAAGTAAAAGCACTCCACAACATGCAACAAAATTACCTCCACTAAATATGGAGTTTGGAAAATAAAAGCTATCTGTTAACAAGACCATTTCTCATGTGCTCCTAAATCCAGATTTCAGATAGGATTGTGATGAAAATTTACATCGTCTCTAGTAATTGTGTAAATTTTAACTACTGCAAAAAGCAAAATACAACATGACAAGGGAGATCATCATGAAGAGCAAAGAGCATATTTGAATTGTCAAGAAAATGCCCGAAGCCTTCAACCAAGGCAGCACTGTGGTTGAAAGTAGTGGAAGTTACCAGAGGGCTTGTAGGGCCAGATGTCTTTGTTGGAAAGACCTGAAAAGAACAGTGTGAAACAGCACTTATCACACATTTTAGAAGCAAAAATGAACATAAAAGTAAACTAATTGCTTGTTTGTGGGTTTCTTCAGAGCACATTTCTATAGTTCCAGACATCAGATCAGGAAAGACAGCAGTTTGGAGCACTTTCACAGACAGTTTGAGCTATATATTTATACACTCAGTCCCCAAACCAAATATAATCAACACATGACATTGGAGGTGGGGAGAGGCATAAGTGAACAATTCTCTTTCTTGCACTGGTCATTTAAAATGAACTAAATGACAATCTAAACCTATGTCCAGTGGGGCTCTGGAGTTAGGCTGTCTGGGTCCACACTATTCCTCACATCTCCCAAAGTATCTAGACCCTCTCATTTGCATCTCTGTCAGTCTCTTGTCACCCGTGCACTTCTGAAGGTGTGAAGTTCCATGCTTAAACCTAGGATTCAAACAATGAAGGATCAAACAGGGCTTCCATAAATTGGATATTTTTTTTCTTTATTTATAGAGTGCCAAATTCCTTGAGCTTTTCATATTGGCCTAGAACTTTGAGTAAATATTTATTAGAAGTTAATTTAATTGTGACTAGAGCTAATACAGGCCATCTACTCTCTTTAACATGATTTAAGTCATATTCATCAATCTAGGAAATATTAAAATTGCCTCAGATGGTGATGAATAAAATAATACACGATTGAGTGCCAACATGAGGCTTGCCGATGCCAAGAGCTTTAGTAGTTGGGAGTGAGTCGTTGTGGCAGACAGGACTGACCAGCTAACATTCACGGAGTGTTCACCAGGTGCCAGGCCCGTGCTCCAATGGTGAGCTCATTCCATTCTTGCAATAACCCTGTGAGTTAGATGCTATTATTATCTCTGCTTTGCACGTGAAGAAACTGAGACGTAGTGTAAACTTGCCCAGAAGAACACTGCGAGTTACTGGGGCAGTGTGGGTCGTGAACCCAAACAGCCTAAATCCGGAACGCTGCGTTTTACCCACTCTGCTATGCATTCATCCAGCACTGCTGCGGCCCCATCCATCTCCGTCAGGCCGGGGAAATCAGAGGTGTCTCATTTAGCTTAGTTCATGGTGGCTGCTTTCTGATCTGTGGGGACTGGCACTTCCCAGCTCCCTTTTAATGTGAAACCAGACAAACTGGCCCTAATCAAACAGTCTGAAGCTTTGTCACATCCTAGTCCACTGCAATCATGAGACTTGGGCTCACGGTGACAGGTTAGGGCTTGGTGAAAATGAGCAATGGAAATGTCAAAACAACCCATAATAGAAGATTTATAAAAAGACATGATATTGCAGTGCACTGTTTTGTTTTGTTTTTAATTCGGCAAGAGTAACACAGATAATTTAAGCCTATTTACATCTTTCTCATTCAAACAACACTCAGGACAGAAAGCATTCTGTGCAGAAAGTGCTGCAATAGAAACCCGAGCATTCGGAGGAGGGTGGCCAGATACTGCCTAAGATTCTTTTATTGGGACTTAAATTTTGAATTCTAAACACACAAGTCTATAGTGAGATAATTGTGGAAAGTTCTACAGAACAACAGAAGAAAATTATCTCGAAAGCAAAAGGATCCTCGAATTGAGATCCTTATATTAACTAAAGACCAATAACCTTAGATGTATGATAATGTTCATAATTTCAAGAAGAAAATGTTCTGAATGGTGATAAAGCAAAAGTACTTTCATGTATGGAAATAAAATGTCTGGTCCTTGTATACTGTTCAGGATGAGGAGGAGTAAAACAAGATTTGTGCACAAACATGTGAATAGCTCCAAAAAAATGAAGAGAACTACTATGAAAAAGTGATTTTATGTCCTCTGGTAAACAAACTTAAACATTTCTCTAGACAAGTGCTATATTTAAGGAGCCAAATTCTGCCTCAAAAGAACCCAGCTGGCCATGAAATATAATCTCTTTAGCTAGATGAGGAATAAACAAAGTTTAGTCCTTCATGGAGAACATGCAAGGAAGACAGAAAGCACATTGGCCTGTGATTTGTCCTGAGCAGGTGTCAGCAGGCTTGGTGCTGGCTGCCAAGTCTCTATTTATTCCCTCTCTCAAGGACAGGAAGGAGGATGCTAGTACCTTTAGGTCACTCTCACACACATGCCCAGAAGTAGATGTACTTTGAGGGAGCTAGGTTACATCTATAAGCAGAAACACGGTGGATTTTTTTTTTTTTTTAAGCCCTACGTGATTATGCTGCTCTGCAGAAAACATGCAGCTAGAACTTTCTCTCTGGGAAGCTCTCTTCCCACATCCCAGTTACTACCCTTGAACTTGACTTAGAGTTCTTAAGAATTTCCTTTTACAGTGTAAATACCCTTAAGGCAGACTGCACCTTACATTTATTATTGCAAAAACCTCTACCTCCCCTCCAAGAAGCTGAGTGCCAGATAGTATTACAGCCTAGTTACAATATTCTGCTCCTGTGGGAAACAACTCATTTCTGCGTGTTTGTCCTGGGGTGTGGGAGGAAGGGTGCTAGGGAAAAACCAAGGGTTGTTGGTTAGGAAAGCAAGCAACTGCTTATATCCTTGTAACTTGTTCAATCTCTCTATTTTTATCTGTGCTAAGATCTCCAAGGAAAGGTGTTGTGCATCAGTCTTAAAGCTAGACTGCTATATTACAATCATATTTTACATAATTTTATGTCACTCTAGGTCAGCAAACAAGAGTGAAATCTAATAAAATAAAATAAAAAAATTTAAGCAGTTTCTATATGCAGAATTTATAGGAAAAGTCCCGCTTTAAGCCTTTTAGCAAACAAGATGTTTGAACTTTTATTTACCTACTCATTACAGTCAAGTGTGCCAATGTAACTAAAGTTTAGCAGGCCTTCGTAATAAATAAAAACACTCAATTGCACTTGAATCAGTTAAGAAAACAACTATTTTTTTCTGTTTTACTCCATGTATTTATTTTTTCTGTTTGATCCTAAATAAAAGTTCTTACAGAAATGAACAGAAAAGATTAATGACCCAAAACTAGAGAGTTTTAAACATCTTATCATTTGATTATTTGTATAGTAGAACAGGTACCTTCAGATTCTACAACTGGATGCTACTACCCCCAAAACATAGTTTCTGTGTCTTCCAAACTCAATAATGCCTATGGGACATTTTTTGTTCTTAATTTCCAACATCTATCTCTCTTGTTTAAAATTTTATTTATTATTTTGTGTGTATGAGTGTTTTGCCTGAATGTAAGCACCTGTGTTGTGCAATGGCCGTGGAGGCCAGAAGAGGGTGTTGGATTCCCCTGGAACTGGAATTTCAGATAGTTGTTAGCCACCATGTGGGTGGTGGGAATGGAACCCTGGTCCTGCAAGAACAGCCAGTGTTCTTAATTGCTGAGACATCTCTCCAACATCTATCTCTTGCTTTTATAAATTCTATTGCACAAATTTCCTTGGAGAGCTATTTATCTACTCTTCAACTCTCAATTCTTTATGTATTGGGTGGCATGTCATCCTGTCCCTGATCAGTGAGAGTAAAACATCTACCAAGATTCTGAGTCAGGAACAACATGGCCCAAGTTGGTTTCCAGGATTTGTGTGAAAACTGCTAGAGACATTTTCTCCCTTTTCCCCTTTATTTGAACTTTGAAGAAGTTAGTCCTGGCCTAACCGAAGACTGACACTAATACAGGGATGAACAAACTAGAGAAAAGTGGCCCAAACTGACTGCTTTAGCACCATGACTATTCCTTTGTTCAGCATTTTGCATATCTGACGACAGCATACTTCTTGACTCTAAAAGCATTCCTTTCACACTTCGTGCTCAGAATTCTCTGAGGAGTACATCATGGTGCATCTGGGACTGCCTGTCATAACCTTATCCAAGTAAAGAGGGAACCTTATATTGGGTCATGACCCTATTACTTACATTGGCATCACACACTATGTAGTTGTACATCGACTTAAATTCAGATTCCAGACTTTTACTTCAAATGCTTTTGGAAGGATTGCTCCATGAAGCAGCACTAAAATGAAGTGTTTTTAGTGTGATAGCAGAAGCTAAAGGTTACCTGCCAGATGCCAGGCAATGCAATTAAAGGCAATAGAAACTGCCAAATAAATCCTTTTTAATACATCATCTCATTTGAAAGCTGGATGAGATTGGCAAAAATGACGCATGCTTATAAAGCACCACAGGCCCCTAAATGGATATCTGTCAAAAATCTTTGGCTCAGTTTCAAGAGAAGCTATTTAACTTCCAGAGCTATTTAATTCAATTAAGTAGAAAAAGAAAGTTTATGCTTGATAAGGACAAAACTCCAAGATTCTCCTGTGTATAGTGCCACAAGCACATTAAAAGAAGTTAGTCCTCTAGGAAGTATGTTTTCCCACATAGCACTATAAATGACTATGAATGGATAAGAGTGATCTGGAAGAGCTTTGTACCACAAATATGGCAAGTTAAATGCAAACCTGTTGAAGCCACAGACAGAAAATGTCATTGATTTCTTAAATTCATTAATATACAGGTACTAAATTTTATTTATAGATTTTTGGCTCTAAGATTTGGGCTAAATACATATGGCTTTCTTCCATACAATACCAGGGAAGAAAAGAGAGAGACAGAGAGTCAGAGAGAGACAGAGAGACTTAACAAGGGAGAAACTATGGATAGGAAGCTGTGGAGCTGTGAGGTATCCCTAAAAGGAAGACTGGCAGCCAGAGCAATTAGCCAAAATTATAGCCATAAACTTAGGAGGCACTCACTGTGTGGGAAGCCATCATAATTAAAAGTCATTACAAGCAGGAAATCTTTGTGACCTTTTTATCTGGAGTATGTCACAGTCACAGCTACTAGGTTAAGAAGTCAACACAGGCATCCTGAAAGAAGATACTACCCTTATTATAGCTATGTCTCATTGTATAAGAACTATATTATTCCCCACATAGAGTCAAATTGGATTCGATGTATGAGACTGCCACAGTCCAGCCATATGCAGAATTCTGTCATAGAGATAAATGTTCAAATAAGATTTAGCAACCCCATGGCAACATCGTGAAAGTTTGTCAATAAACTCAGTCTATTACCTTAGAAGGATGAACTTACACACAAGGAAGTAGGTTAATAGATAAGATTTAAAAGCATATTTATTACTATAGGAAAAATAAAGCAAAAAATTTAACAAAATATATAAAATAAGAACTAAGTACTTATGAAATAAGAACAAAAGGCAATACGAATAATAAACTTAAAGGTTTTAGATACATAAAACTTACTATGATACACATTTTAATTAGCACACTAAGTAACATATTAAATCTTCTGCAGAGTAAATTCATGGATTAGAGTACATTGCTGATGAATTCTTATAGATTTTAAATCAGATGTAATGAAGCATAATGAGAACATTTTAACAGTTTAGTAAGTACATTCAATTCTTATATCTGAGTTAAAATT